CAGGAACAATGTTTTCATGGGGCACATTAGGACCCATAATCCTCATAGAACAATCCCCGACGTCTGTAAGCTACTTGAACATAGTTGCAGACCAGGTTCACCCATTCATGGCAACCGTTTTTCCTGCGAGGGATGGTGTTTATCAACAGGATAATGCACCATGTCAGAAGGGTCGAATCGTCGAGGAACATTCCAGTGACTTTCAAGTCATGTCTTAGCCCCCAAATTCACCTGACCTTAATCCAATAGAGCATTTGTGGTCCTACTTGGAAAACCGAATTCGTGCTGCCTCGCTACCCCCTCGCAATGCGAGGGAATTACAGGACCAGTTGGTGAGCGCTTGGTACCAGATACCTCAGACTATCTATCAGCACCTTGTGGAATCAATGCCACGACGGGTGCTAGCAGTTTTGAGAGCTAAAAATGGTCCTACATGTTATTAGCAGGGTGGTCATAATGTAATGGCTCTTCGGTGTATATATATAAAGTTATAGAGAGTTCAAAGAAATATAACTCAATTGAACGAGATGAGAAAAATCATTAACTCGCTACGTGACAAACTGTCAGTGTACTTTTTTTTCAAAAAACAATTAATACCGTCAACTCAGTTATTTCATTTTTAAAGTTTATTTGACGAAACAACTAACAACCGCTTAGTTTATATTTATTTTATAAAACCTGTTCTGGACACTTTTTTTAAATTAAAACTAGAACAATAGACGAGAGATTTTTTATTGAAAGTTACATATTTTCAGTGAGTGTTTTATTTTGAACATAGCTTGAAATATGGAAATTTTATAAAAATGGATACAGTTCAAAATGAGTTTTAGAAAAAATTGGCATAGCTCAAAACGTGTATTTAAGAAAATAGAATAATTAAGGAACTAAACTTACTAGTTTATATACTTATATTTAAGAAAATGGCATAATGTAGGAAATAGATATAGTAGCTTACATACGTTTATTTTAAAAAATGGCATAATTCATGAAATAAACATACTAGCTTACCTATGCATATTTAAACTCAAGCGCATTAAGAAAATTTATATATTTTGAAAAGAGTGTTTAAGACAAAGGAAGGCAACAATATTGAGCTATGTCCATTTTCATGAACACGAGTTTTAAGTTTTTCGCGATTTTGGAAGCAATGTGCGAAATAAAAAGCTCACTGAAGACATGTTACCCTCAAAGCTGGAAATCCAGCATGGAATATGTCAAAAATCGTCTGATAAAGCATTAAATCAGTAAATATTTCCTGCTTTGCCTAAACAATTCCAAATGACAAACCGGCAAATCATAAGATGCAATTATCTCAGACTTTTATCTAGCATGGTTATAATTTATTAATATTATTTGAAAGTATTTCCTTGGTGCAAAAAAGTAACTTCATGTTTAATTAGCTTTTTTCAATAAGAAAAGCACAAATTTTTGGAAACCACCATGCTTTATTTTATAACCGGTTTTGAAAAGCCGATTTAATTCTGATTTTACGACTATAAATGTTCAACTCAGTCTACCTTTGAATCCAACCCTAAAGCTCTTGGATCAAGCATTGGGACAAACTATCCTTCGTGAAGGACTTTTTGGTAAAACAAAACCCTCATTTGTGTTACTTGGAGAGAAAACCCACAAATACTCCCACGGTTTCGCCTGACGGCAAGGTGATTGCCCATGTAACCCATGACCAAGCCCAAGATAACCCATGATCCATCTACTAGAGAGAATATTTCCCGTCAGCACGATAGATATTGAGAGCCGAGGACAAAATTTCCATCAGCCAGCCACCGTTGAGATTCAAACCTGGGCTCACCTCATTGGGAGGTGAAAGCTCTATCACCTGAGCCATCACGGCTGCCACCATGCTCTATTTATAATAACCGGATAAACAGAATAATAACATAGCAGGAATAAGTGCCCTATTACCAGGCATTTTCTAATGCTTTCATAGCAAAAGGCTATTGCTCGATTTTCTCCAAACTGTTATTTATAAGGTAAAGGGTTATTGCCTCGTATTCTGTACTTTGATGCATCTTTTTTTATGTACCACTATATTGTTTTTAATAGGACCCTGCGACCACTGAAATAATATACTAGACAATAAAAGCTTCTGCTTCAAGCAAAAAAGATAGGGAGTTCAGCATGTTGCATGTTTTGAACCCCCTCAATACGACGCGTCTTGTCAAGAAGACACCACGTGAATAATTAAAACTTAAAAACAAATTAGAAACAGGAAAAGATGTATGGAAATATATTCTACCTTGGCTTGCATTCTTTTGCAATTACCATCCCAAAAGCTATCGCGTCATCTTTTGTTTTTCCTTACATATTTTTCTTTGGCAGCTATACTTTTCTCGCTTCTAACCTTATTCTAAGTTATCAGTTACGTGTTGTTTACCTGACGAAGAGCTTCTTGTTTTGGGTGCTAGAAAAATGTACTTGCTTCCGTTTCTGACAAATAAGCTGAAGAGATATTTTATTGGAGATCGAAATGGGCTACGGGTGGCGAAGAACAGAACTCTCTACCTATAGCAACACTTCGCATGTTTTCACCATAAGCGTGTGGAGAGTCATAGAAGAAGGCAGTACGTTAGTTTATGTCTTGATTTTTAAATAGATTAAAATCTTTTAATTTAGCAAACTATATGGAACTGAAAATTACATTAAACATAATTCTAAAAGAAAGCGTCATGGAAATTTTAAAAAATATTTTTCGCAATTAAATACGAAAAGTATTAAGAAAAGAAAAAATATCGTAGTACATTCCCATGGATGGTGTTTTCTGCACTAGGGAACGCTGCAAGCTCGGTACCGCTAAGGTTTCCGGGTAACTGTTTTCGTTGTATTTTATAGCCATTTGGCATCATTGTGTTTTGAGATTCTTGCAAACAATGTATTTGATTATACTTATTACTTGTGCTTACAATGCTAACAATACTTGTGTCTTCAATGTTAGAAGTGTTAACACTAACGTAAGATGGCGCACAGCTCGCAACAAGAACAAACAGTAATAAACTTATGGAAAGAGGTCATATCAAGACTGCCAAAAAAGCGAGTTATTCAAAATCTAGCAACCATGTCACCTTTTTCAACAACATATCTCTAAATAACTAAAACAAATTTTCACTTCAAACTCACCAGAATTACACCAGAATTACATAATAATATTAATATCTTATGAAATACGGCAGATTTGAGCTCATAAGTTATCTAATTTATTTATTTTGTTGAAAACAAAATTATCCGTGTAAAATATCGCCTCGCAGAATAACATGTAGTAAGCAGCTGCAAACTTTCTAACCGGAACTAGAGCAGGCATACAGCTCGAGATTGTTATTGTTTACATTTCTACTGAAAACACCATCCATACAATTGAAAAAGAAGAGAAGAGGGAAGGGGAATGGTCAAAGGCATGGAACCGGTCTTCTCCCCAGATGGCGTATTCGAGCGTTGCGATAGAGAATTTTCAAATGAAATACCTGTGCTTATACTTTTTACAGTTTTAAAAGTATATGAAACACAAATAAGTTGTCGGTGTTGCAATGGATTACTCATGGAATGTTTCAATATATAATGTTTGTTTGTTTTCTTCTTTTTGCAGGTGAGTTTCTTTTAGAATGGGAAGGCATTGAAGCTCGCATCATCCGCCCAGACATACAAGCTGTGAATGGCGTCATCCACGTCATCGACCGCGTCATGATGAAAAGGCGAGATCTTACAAAATCAGGTTCACCCATCGGTACTCAGAGCACTGATTTCTTACCAATCCTATTAGCTTTTATTTTAGTTACTATTCTTTTCTGAAGACCAAAATACTTAGACTGAACAAACACACCAGCACACAAAAATGGAACAAAGTGCTTCAAGTAAAAGATGAACAGAAATTGAAGTTTCTATTTACTTAAAGTGTGCTTCGATGGCTTTCAATGCCGGAGAACCTGTGTTCAGAACATATTGGACAACTTGGGAACATGTTTATGCCATATTCAAACATTTAAATTGAAAATTAAATTTGGTTCCATTGGATGAAATTATTCGATTGTGCGCCGAAAAATTAGTCTGGCCAGTTATTTAAACATGCATATATAACAAATAGGAGCTATTAAAAAACATGCTTTGCAACTAGAATTCGAAGTTGGTAGAGTGAAATGAAGAAAAAAAAAGTAATAATAATAATAAAATATTTATAATAATGAACGTCCAAACAATCTTGAGAAAAAAAAAGAGACTTGATTGTGTCAGGAAAATGTGAAAAGCTTCTGTATCAAAGTTTGTTATGTTAAAAATTGAGAATAATATTTCTATGTTTGAATTGGAATCAGTTGTGTTGCCCAGTCGTGAAATGTTTATCAGTGTTAATTGTTTTATTACGATGTGAATTAAATTGTTTAAAAGCCACTAAAATTACATTGTTATTAGTGTCCTTGAAAAAATTGTCCAAAGAGTTCTTATTTTTAACAAACAATTTTTGTGCTTTTATAAATACGGATATTATCAAAAAACATAATTTAAATCTTTACTAGTTAAAAATGGCTTTATTTGTCTATAAATACATTTTAATTACTGTTCAATGTAAAAAAAAATTATTTTTAATGTCAAATGATCAAGATCAATTGTAACTTGTCCTCGTTGGCAAACGTTCAAAAATTTCGACGACCAGTTCATGTGTATAACTGTAACGTTTACAATTAATTGTGTATTTTATGTGTTGATGTGTGTTATCTTGTATATATTGTGGAGGAACAAACACGCATTTTCGTTAAGATGCTAACTGCACACTACAACTGCATGTCATTTATGAAAATAAGGTGGTGATATATATATTTGGGTGTTATTATACGATTAATTTGAGACTATGCTATTGTGGAACTTTTGAAAATCCAATAAGGCGTTTGGCCTGATTGGCATTTTCGCATGTGCAAGGACTATTTTCTACGACTGTATTTATAACAGAAAAAAAAATTCGTGAAGTTGATCTCTAATTTGTATTCTGAGCGCGATTACACATTGTAAAATAATTCTAAATTTCTAACTTTCTTTATTCTTTGCAAAGTAAAAATAATGTTTTTGATTATTTACTTACTATATCTGTAATAAAAAAAATGTAACGCATTGTGAAACAATTCAAAATCTCGAACCAAAACAGAAAAATTCAGATATTTTTATTTGTCTCTTTTCTTGTGGTTTGGAGAAGTAAAGTTATTGTTTTGAAATGATTTGTTTACTATATATGTAAGCAAAACTATATTGTCAAATAATTTAAACTCACAAACCCCTAACAGAAAAATAGAACTCAAATATTTTTGACTTCTTTATATCCCTTCAAAAAAGTAAAGTTATTGTTTGGAAATTATTTATTATATCTATAAGTTAAACGATGCAACACGCCAGCAAAAACTAAATGTGAATTATAGTTTGTCTAAAGTAAGAACTCTCCTAGCCATTCGTCTGGACCCGTGGCGGTGACTATGGTAACGAAGTATAACTATTTCAAGTTGGGGGTGTGGGGTCATTGTTTAGCACATGTTTCGGCTAGGGTCGGTGAGAAAAAGGGAATCTTTTTCTTCTGTCTATTGTGTTAGCCCTAGATTAAAGAGAAGCTACCCTCCCTGAATGCGCCATTCTTGTTTCCATCGCAGCAGACTGCACCAGATTTTGTCGAAGACAAACTATAGAATGTGTTTGAAGACTGGAATAATGGAGGGTCCTGTGTTGCACGCTTACGTGCGTACGATTTAAGCAACGCATTTGCTACAAAACTTCCTCGGTTTTCTATGGAGTTTGCAAAGAATCTACGTACGTGATCATGCGGGATGCCACCTGAAAGTGCTAAATCTCTCCATTTTGAAAAAAAAAATAGTTGTATGACATATTTCAAATCAAATGCGAATTTTCTTCCGTTGCCTAAAATTTTTATTTAAAATAAATTATTTTGGCAGTATAGCAGATTCAAATAAAAGTTACATATGATGATAATAGACACAAAAAAAATTTGATCTGATAAATAAATGCTAAAAATGCTTCATTTTTTTACTAATATTTTCATTTTGTAGATTTTTGTATTTTTGGAAAAGCTATACTTCATCATAAATTCCTGCTTTCTGGGATTTACGGTCAAGTAGGGGTATGGGGTCTTTGTGACTAAAAAAAAATCTTATGAATGTGACTAAAAAAAAAATTTTTTTTCTCTGCGAAATTCTTTTTTACGTGAATTATAATGCTCGAAAATTTAAGTGACATAGTTAGATCATTTAAATGTATTGTTATATATACAGAACAAAAGCCTCAATATACCGGAAATTCAAAAATTAACTCTTATTTTTAACCATATTACAAACTCTACAAGGTACCAATGTGCAAACAAAATCTTAAATTTCTTTTTATCGATTGAAACTGAAGATTGAAAATAAAAATAGTTAATTGCACCAATTTTCTATTTCCAAAAAAATAACTGTTTTTTGGATAATTTGTTATCACATTTTTTGTCATAGACCCTTACAGTAATTCGCGATATTTTAATAATATTTTTGTTTCCCGCTTATTGTCATCCTTAATATGTAGGTTATTTTATTCCTTAATTTATAACAAGGACTCTAAATATATATATTAATCTTTTGCTAACGGATGGTACAACATGGCACACCATATGCAAAGGGTTAAAAGCAGAGATTATGAAACACCATGTACAAATACTTTAAGAATACCGAAACATTTATGGTTGAACATTTATTATTGCCTTATATAATAGTAGGGAACCGATTATCCGGAACGATCGGGACCATCGCTATTCCGGATAACTGATTTTTCCATTTTTCCGAATCGCTACAAAAAGCCGTTTTTTTTTATTGTTAAACCCAACTTAAAAAAATTATATTTGGAAATAATTTTAAAAAAAAGAAAAAGCGAAGTAATACACTAATGATTATTTCCAAAATGATAGTAAGGTAAACATCTTTCCAAAAAGAAAAAAAAATCCTAAAATCTTATGAAGAAAAAAAAAATTTTTTTTAAAATGGCGGGAAAATTTATCGAATTTCGTTCCGGTTTTTTGGTTTTCCGGTTTTCTGATTTCCGGATAACGGGTTCTGTACTGTAATTTAATATGTAAACACTGTATTAGCATTTGATTTTAAAAGAATATATAAATTGAGTATTAAACATTTTTAATCAATCTACATTATTATCTTTGATAATAGAATATCAAAAAAATCTCAATCTCCAAATTATCAAATATGTTTAAAACTGTTAAAATTACATGATGCTTTCTAAGTTTTATAAAAAGTATTTCGTTATGGCAAATATTGGATGCGAAGGGAAAAAAATTATTTTTTTAGAAATCGTTTTTGGGAGATTCAGTATCTGTAAGATGATTTAAAATTTCAGTTAAATGGTTTTAAGTTGGACGTCGGGGAGAGCTTCCGATAATCCAACTAAACTACCAAAAAATGTATAAAAATTTAAAAAAAGAGAAATTATATTTGATGGTTTGAAAATGTGCTTTTATTTTGCAAGTTTTGAGAAGTGGCAAAATAAAGAAAACCTGAAAATGAATAATGTTTTAAATAAATGGATTTTACTGCTTTTTGTGTTGTTTTGCATTTTATTTGTGTATATCATCACTGCAACATAAGGAAGAGGAGGGATAATGTGGACGATGTTTATAAATTTTCCAAAATAGCTCAATGATAATTATTTTGAACTCATCTAATATTTTTGTTATTTGTTTCAAAATTTCGATTTCTTATCTTTATTTTAAAGCTGAATCATACATAAACTGAATCGGAAATAAATATACTTTTTGTAACAATTTTTTGTAAAAAAAAAAAATACATTTTTATCCCTTGACACACTAGAATACACTAGCCCTTGACACCAGGCTGATTTAAACACTCCATGAAGGTGGTATAGGCAAGTCACAAAATTTATTATTTAATCTATTATTGCTAATAAAAAACGTAAGTAAATTAAGAATGGAACTAACTTTAGTCTAAAAGTAATTCCTTGAATAAAAATCACAAAAAGTTTCATTTTAATATTAATGATAAAACTTAATAAATTAATTAATTAACGATAAAACTAACGGATTTATCATTAACTATCATATTTCTTCAGATAGCCCAATGTGAGCCAATGCCTTCCTGTGAAGATTTCTCCATAATGACTTCCGATAATGGTAAAACTTAATAAATGAATAAATGCAATTTTTCCTTTTTCAATGGGGATTTAATGCGGTTAAAGAGTTCTGCTTTACCATTTGATTTTTAATTTAATAAATTCTATTAACCATGATTTTTACCTCGCCCACTGAGAGATATAAAAAATTGTATTAAATACGTTAGATAACGAATTTAATACAATTGTTTGTGTTAGACGTGATACGTTAGACCTGATAAAAATGCTGTGAAGTTTTTAATTGGACTAACTTAACTTAACTTTATTGTCATTACACCTCATTAAATTATATAGGATCGCTTTAAATGTCTAGAACTGCGGGTTAGTAAGGATTTAAATCGACAATTAATAATTAAACTAACAATTAATGATTTTACTATATTCTAATTATGAAAAAATACTGTTTCAAAAACAATTGACCTAATTAGAAATGAATTTTTTTTTTTTTCTTTTTTTTTTTTCTTTTTTTTTGCATTTTCTTAGCGGAAAAATTATTTTTNATATAGGATCGCTTTAAATGTCTAGAACTGCGGGTTAGTAAGGATTTAAATCGACAATTAATAATTAAACTAACAATTAATGATTTTACTATATTCTAATTATGAAAAAATACTGTTTCAAAAACGATTGACCTAATTAGAAATGAATTATTAACTAAACTAACAAAATTAACTAAATTTAATTTTGTTTTTATTTTCTAAAGTAGTTGAACAAATCAATATTAAATGTCAGTTCAAAAAAGTTAATCGAATTTCGAAAGTTCACATTTTACAACTGCTATAAACAATACCTAAGGTTAGCATCCGCATTTTGAATTTTAAAAAATCTTAAAATATGTTTAAGCAGTAGTGTTTCCTAAATTTGCCACTATACAAGATTAATCAATTGAAATAAATAAAATGTAGGAAAAAAATTCTAAATAAACTGATTATTTTATAAAAACTATCTCATTGCAAATTAATACCGCATAAAGTTGCGTGTTACTAATTAACCCACATGATTTTTCACGGAAAGAATAATCAGGGGAAAATGTAATAGTGGTAAACGAGTGTGAGACATACCTTGATCATTTAATATATTTCTGATAATGTATTATTTTGTACGGAAAATATACCTGAGAACGAAACGAACATAAACCGCGCAGTGGAGACTGGGAAATAAAAAGATGTCACTACGTTCGAGCTACTAAGCTACTCACTTCAGTAGGATGAAACACGAAAGATGTCATTATGTTTGGACTACTAAAGGATCAAATTTCTTGTTTACGGGAACCCGCCCTGAGGCCTCTTTTTTCTAGGAGATATTGGGCTAACTCGCTTTCTAAAAATCCAGCTCATCATTGCTCGGCAGTCCTCGACACTGCTTAAGCAGTTCTTTTCATATCACTTTGCTCGATCATTTCACCTTAGTCTCACTTAATACTCAGCTTTAAACATTATTTAACCATATTCGAAACCACGACAGCTGCTTACTATCGCTTACCGACACTGAAAACTGTTTGCACAACTCTTTTTCAAATATTTCTGATTACTTATTTTCTCTTTTGACCCTCAAATGGACGGATTATCGATAAAGCTGCAAAAAAAAATCAAAATATTGGAATGGATTGATGCCTTGGTCTCAAATTTAAAACTTGTGATTCTTCAAAATTCAGCTCTTAACATTCGCTATGTTGTTTAAGTTTTATATTTTAACCGTTTTTAAATTATACGAAAAGTAACTTGTGTTCGATGTTTATGTGAAATATACTGAAAGCGGCAAAAAAAATTCAGATTTATTTCAGCCGATTAAGTTCGGCACATAAATTTAATTAACACATTACTTACCACTCATGTGGTTTCTTTTGTTACCTTTTTCTAACCGCAGAATTTCTTAATTTAAATCATACAGAGGATGTACAAAAATTTCATAAATTCAGAACGGTGAACCAGGAAGATGTAAAATTACCATAAGAAATGTGGTTGCAAAGCAAACCTCATCGAGTGAGGAAAATCACACAAAAAATGTATGCAAGTTGTGAATCTAAGAGAAACGAAAGGTAAAGGTCACTTGTTGTCCTACGTAAATTAAGCGATAGTATAATATTCGCTTTGAAGCTCTGAGGATCGTTTTTATGTCGTTGTAGACCGTTGTTGTTGTAGTTAGCGGGTGCCTCTTTGAACATTTCTTGCAATATATTATCAAACAATCTTTTTGCAGTTATCAATTTTGTAGAAGATTTTGTAGTGGTTTACGACCCCATATTCTGTGATAAGTTTATGCCTTTTTTTACCCCTTGAAATTACCCGTCACATTTTGGGATACACTGTATACATCTTAGTTCTTATTACTAATATTGTCCAAACTTTAATGAGATATTTATCCTTGTAGCACGATAATTTGAAAAATATACGGGACATCTAATTTTCGAAAGAGACAATATACTGTTAGAAAAAAACATTTAGTTTATACCCTTTTTACTCTCTCTGCAACTACTACTATTTATGAACAATTATAATATGCTCCTTCTTTATGTAGTTAGAAGGAGCCAGGCATCTGGGTATCTAACATATATTTTTTAAATCGATTTCAGAATTAAAAATGAATTAAGCTTAAGTGTCTAACCACTTTTCAACAGTCAATAGAGCACATTTTGTGAATTTTACCTGAAAATCTTAAGAAACCAAAGAATATTAAGAAAAGGAAAAATACCGTAGTACATTTCCATACAAATGAAAAGAGAAGGAGAGGGAAGAGAGAAAAGTCAAAGGCATGGAACCAGTCTTCTCCCCAGATGGCGTGTTCGAAAGTTGCGATTAACTATCGTGACTGCTCTGCACCACCTGCAGCCCATTTCGATCCCAATACACTTGCCCAACAAAAAGTAAGCTAATGCTTATAAATTTGTTGGATCTATACTTATTAAGATCATTCATTAACTCCTTTATTCAAGATATGTGTTCCCTTTTACAACTTAAACTTTCTGACTCCTAGAGGGCGTATTCGAATAAAAAGATCCAAATGACGTCAAATTAAATAATTCTATTCTGTTAGTGAGCTTGTCAAAGCTGTAAGCGTGAAGCATACCGCTCGATATAACTTCAATCAATTAATATCTGCATAAGGCAATTCGAAAAAAGAAACAAACAAATGACATTACAAGCGAATCGTTAGTTTCATTTTTATCACTTTTTTAATGCGTTTTATAAAGTAATTCCTATTATTGATGATTTACTTTCATTGATAAATGCAATTTTTACTTTGGCTTTCAGGATATCTCTCTTAGATCATCTAGGATAAGATTCTGAATAAATTTTCACAATTGAAAAGGCTCACAACTGGGAAATATTTATATTGAATTTAAATAAACATTATCTTGTTCATTCGGGAGAACAACCTTATTCACACAACATGTGTAACAGAACATTAACATGTAGCAGTAGTTTAAATAATCTCTCTCTTGCTTACTCTGGAGAAAAGCCTTATGCGTGCACTCTGTGTAATAAATCTTTTGAAAGAAAATCTCATTTAAATAGACACTATTTTGTTCATACTAGTGAGAAGCCTTATTCATGCAATGTGTGTGATAAAACCTTTTCACATAAAGATTATTTAAATCGACATTCTCTTACACATACTGGAGAAAAACCTTTCAAATGCAGTGAATGCAATAAAACATTCTCACTGAATGTGTATTTAATGAAACACTCTGCTATCCATACTGGAAAAAAGCCTTATTCGTGCAGTGTGTGTGATAAAACATTCACACAGAGCTCTAGTTTAAATAAACACTATCTTGTTCATACTAAAGAAAAGCCTTATTCATGTAGTGTATGTGATAAAACATTTTCACAGAAAAGCAGCGCAAAAGATCATTTTCTTGTCCATACTGGAGAGAAACTTTTTAGCTGCAGTGTGTGTAATAAATCTTTTCGAAAAAAATCTAATTTAACTAGGCACTATTATACACATACTGGAGAAAAGCCTCATTCATGCAGTGTATGCGGTAAAAGATTTACAAGTAAAATTCATTTAAATGAACATTATGTGGCTCACACGGGTGAAAAGCCATATTCATGCACTGTGTGTAATAAAACATTCACACAGAAAACTCTTTTAAATAGACACTCGCTTGTTCATACAGGTGAGAAGCCTTATTCATGCAGTGTGTGCGATAAAAAATTTAGACTCAAAACTTATTTAAATGATCATTTTGTAGTTCATACTGGAGAAAAGCCTTATTCATGCAATGTGTGTAATAAAACATTTTCTCAGAAAACTCATTTAAATAGACACTTACTTGTTCATACTGGTGAAAAACGTTTTTATTGTGAAGTGTGTGATAAATCTTATGTGAATATGTCTAATTTTAATAGACACTCTTGTAATTCTAACAAAATGGTCAATTTGTAAAAAAAAAATCTGGAGATAAAGAAAAAAGCCTCTAGAAAATTTATCTTAAAAATTAGAAAAAATTTTTAAGTAACATATTATCAGGGAGCAACAAATCCCAGGTGCCAGGTCGTCCTGGCAACTAACTTTCCCAACATACAAATATTATTCTTTTACTACATACGTTTAAACTATTCTAAACGGGGGTGATTCATTAAGAAAAAAATTCATTTGATCTTAGCTTAAAAATTTTATTGAACTATAGATAGTATTTTAAAGCTAAAACTTAAAGACAGTGTTAATGTATATTTCTAATTTAATACTTACATTAAAGGAAACAATATTAATTTACCTACAGTTTTAGTGTATATTTATAGTTTGTTTTATAAAGTTATAAGAATTACAATTTAAAATATTTCCTAAAATTATTGCGGAATTTGATTTTTTTTTTAACTCCTTCACTGTGAAAAGCTACAGATGTGACCCATTTTATTAAAAAATGGTCAAGCATGTCTGTGGAAAATAGTTTTTTTTTTACTTTGCAGTAATTGTGATAAAGTCATCACAATAATTCTAGAAGCTGGTTCCTAAAATTTTATTTTTCTCAGTCCCTGTGTATTGGTGTAAGAATTAATAAAGTGAAAAAATGTATGCTAATCAGATTGGATCGAAACACTGATGAAAGAGAACCATCTGTAATTAAGTGTCAATAAATAACTTTTCATTTTTATTCTTGTTATTCATATTTTTATTCGTGCTATACTTGTTTATCACTATTTGTTATCAAAGTAAATTTACAAATTTATATTGATTTAAATGTGATGGAAACTTCCTTATAAGGAATTAAATGAAAGATACAAGATTATTTATTTATATCTAAAGTAAACAGAAAAAAATTTGTTATTTAATTTTTATGACTTAAATTTGAAAACAAATTAACAATTCGATTTTTTAAATTACAACTATTTAGTACAGTATAAATTTTTCACTTAAATATATATGTATATATATGTGTGTGTGTGTGACATAGACAAGTTTACTCATAACTGGTTTCTAAAAATCTCTGAGGCCTTTCTATTGGTCTTTGAGCAGCTTTGGGACATATATATGGACAATTAGTCATCTTTTCATTTAGTGATTTAAGGAAGTTAACTCAGCTTATAGTTGAATTTCACATATTTGCCACAATTACAGTATGTTACATAACATTGATTACATTTTTTAACTACAACTTTTAGTACATTGTATTTTTAATTGTTTTATTTTGTGGAAAAAGTTGAATGCAAAAGGCTTTTTTTTATATCCACCATTAAAAATATAAATTTTTCACTTAGAAAACTTCCATGACATGGGCAAGCTTGCTTGAAATTGGTTTCTTAAAAACTCCTGGGCCTTTCTATTGGTCTTCAAGCAGCCTTGGAACCAATAGACAATCAGTCATCTTTTCATTTTGTGACATTAGCAAAGTTATCTGTTGAACCAACTTATAGTAAAATTATGAATAATTGCCACAAGTTTGTACTATATCTAATCAAATATCAGTTTTAAAACATGTTTTCCCTTTCTTTTAAAGGAGCAAGTAGAACTCATTACGTAACAGAACGGTGAGGTAGAACCTCTTTCCTGTCTTAGAATTACAACAATATATCAGGTTAATATTTGTAAAGAAAAAAAATAGGTTAATCATGAGTCATCCATTATAGCTATTATCAATTAATTACAATTCTTCTTGGTAATTTAGTTAGCTATTTATAGTTATATTTACTATAAATAGCTTATATTTACTTAATTATATATACTTAAAATTATGTCTATTTGATTAATTAGTTAAATAATTAGGTTTCCCCATTTACTGTGCTCATTTAATTATTAGAAAACTTTTATACAAGGTCTTTAGCAATGACCTCACTTATAACATACCAGATACTAAGAAGCATTTTTAGCAAGATTCTAAAGAACTAAGTAAAAATGCTAAAATAAAACTTTTTTTTTTTATTAAAGCATTTTATCCCTGGGTTGCAACTCAAGTAGAAAAACAAAATCCCTGACTTTTTCCAAGTAAAAAAAAAAAAAAAAATTCGTCTAATATCACAGCATAACAGTGCCATGAACAAAATATACAGTGAACCACAAAAAAATTATGTTATTAATTTATACATTATATTTGTATATGTTATTTCAATTAAAAAAACACAACACCATAGTACAAACAGAAAATGGTCGTAAAGACAAAAGAAATTTATCATATGAAAAGAGAAAAAAAAATTTAAAAAATAATAACAGTTTGTCTAACTTAATCAACACAGAAAACTATAATTTTTGTTTTAATTCTACAACTTGGAAATCAAAAGCAGAAACTTCTGATGAAAATTGTCTGTTTAATTTTTTATCCCTGTTTAATTTAATTTTATACATTGCACCTGCATGATGTAAAAATGAACAAGAATGATATTTTTGAAAAAGAAAAAAGGTGCATCTCAAATTTTTTATGTAAATTAAAATGACATGCTACTTTTCTAAATATATTTCAAAATACTGAAGAGATAAAATCTTAAAATACACCCTCACTATATTAATGAATCATTAACTTATTATTAAAATTTAACTTGCTATTAATATGCAATGCAAATTAAATAAAAAATAAACCTAATTTATCTAAGCTTCTTCGAGATTTGATAATAATAATAGATGTTAAAATTTAGTTAGTGATAAATTTATTAGTATCTCTGCTCTGTTCACAGATATTCTGAAATCACGGATACTAGTTCATAAAAAATAATCTTTTTAAAAATACTAAATCATCTCACACAAGAAACCAATAAATATATAAGTATTATGAATTCAATAATAATTAAAATCCAGTTTAATCAACTAAATAAAATGTTTCTAAAAATAAAATAAGCAAAATATGACAACTGGATAGGATTGTCCTCTTAGTAATGGATAATTTTTTTATTTCTTTTTTGTATATTAAATATAAAAAAAAGCAAATTTGCTAAAAAAAATACATAAAAAAAAGATGACACTTCATTATGAAGAAAAACATAAACATTACAGAAAGAAAAACATTAAAAGTATTTATCTTTACGAAATAAAGGTGAAATTACAATGGAATCGTCACAAATCGAACGAGCCGGAAGCTGATAACTCAAATTCGAACATCGTAATAACGTATTAAAAATATCGGATTTTATAGACTAAACCACGTGAAAAAGGTCAAACAAATAATAAGACCCGTAACGGCCGAAAAAACTATCATCAAACGATGTGAAATTTCGATGGAGTCGTCACAAACCAAATGATAACTCAAAATCGAAATTCGAACGTCGTAATACTATCATATTAATAATGTCGGAATTAGAAAAACCATATTAAAGGTGCCGAAAAAAATGACAACAGCTGATAAACTATCAACTAACGACATAAAATCATGATGCAATCGAAAGAAGAAAAAAAAGATGGCTTGAATTCAATTTTCGCATGTCTAAACAATTTAATTAAAAAGGAATTCATTTGAAAAACCATAGGGAAGCGCCCGAAAACAATCGGAAAAACTCTTGTACTGACAAAATAAAAGTGATTGCTAAAACCAAATGTTCTTTATCAAGAAATTTTCAGAAAATAATTTTCATTTTTTGCGAAAATGGGCCCTAGAAATAAAATATGAATTAACCCCTGGATATTGAAACAGCAATTTCTAAGGAAAAAACATTACTTATCTATAAGAATTATAAAATGCTGTTTATCCCAATGAATTTCTTAATAAAAAATTATAATAGATAATCTTAAGTCCATTTTCACATCCCTCTGTCTAAACCAAAAACCCTTTTCCAAAGGAAACTTTTCTAAGTCACTAATTTACGATTTATTACTGTTCTGTGAAATTTGGCTCCATGGGAAATGTTAGGACAAAGATCGCATGTTTTGCGCTCACAAAATCAAACTTCATGAAATTTGTGAGATTTTGGCTCAAAAATGTTAAATTCTAGACCAGAAGAGAGCTAGAGAAGACCGGTTCTACAGTCACTCGATTTAATCGCCAAGTACCGGGATCCTTTTTCACAAAACTGAAATGAACCCGTACGTTGCACTCTAACCATAAAGCAGTGTTTCTTAACCTTTTTGGTATAATGGACCTAGTGACGTAGATTTTCGCCTAAGATTAGAAGGAAGTGAAGGTCNCCATAAAGCAGTGTTTCTTAACCTTTTTGATACAATGGACCCCTTTTAAAAATTTTTAAGAAGTCACGGACCACCCCCCTGAGAAAAACATAATTGCAAAAACCATCCATTGTTAGAAAACATTTAATTTTATTATTTTAATAGTATACAAAATTTTCATAATTAAAATTTTTAATGTGAAGGTTGCTGCTGCTTTTCCTTAATTAACAAATTGAATTGGGGGATAGTTTTCGACAAAGCAACGCGCATATCATGTTCAACATTCAATCGATTTCGATGTTTTGTTTTTATTGTCACGAGTGTGGAAAATCCCGCTTCGCAAAGATACACCGTAGCAAACGGAATTATAGCTGCCATAGATCGCTTTACAAGCAATGGGTAGGCTTCCAAACGTTTTAAAAATTAGGAGTAGTTAGCGGACCCCCAAAATATGACTCATGGACCCCTTAGGGGTTCATGAACCACAGGTTAAGAAACCCTGCTTTAGAGGAAGATCACTAAAGTAATTTTGCGTCAGCACATTGGTCACTGTGGTTTGGGCATAGAAAACGAAATAATTAGCAAGCTATAGCGAGTATTCAAATCTGGATCCTCTGAGTTAAAACAGTCTCGTGCATATTTAAGCATTACTTTAAGTAGCAAAGTAGGAATTACATTATCAATAAGCAATATATTTATCAAATATAGTGTGGAAAAAAAAAACGGACCTCTCTGAATAATTTTTGATCTAATGATCGGATCTTTACGTTCTAGGACTCATTTTTAATGGTTCAAAGGAGTGACCTCAAATTTCCTAATTAATTAGTGAAGACGATCTTTTAAGCTACTGAATAAAATACAAAAACGTACTTTGTAGTTTGAATTTTCGTTCTTTTGATGATAGCGTATCATTCTACCATAAAAAAATAATGGGAAATAAAAGCTTCGCTTAATTGGAACGGAAAAATAGCGTTTCATACCTTATAGAACTTTTCTCAAACAATTAAAGCAATAAAGTTACGAGTTTTGCAATTTTTAGATAGGTAATTTAATAACGTACATTTATAGGAGCTTAGATTTTTTAAAATTTATTCATTATAATTATTTATTTTTGTTTAAATTGACAAAAACCGATTTTGATGGAGCTGAAATTGTTTTTAAAGTAAATCAAGTTAAAACAAAGACATATTTTTCAACAATTTAAAAAGACGAAGGTACTTTATCATTTTTTTAAAAAAATGCTGAGTGCAAAATTGTATTGATACAAATTAGTCAGAAAAAAATCTATTGGAATTCTAAAATACCAAGCATTATATTTCTTAGAACTCTAATTTGACAACGATCTCCTATTTTACATGTTTTAAAAGATATTGACAAGTAGAATATATTACAACTATATCCGCTTAATTGGGAAAATTAAATGACAATGATTTAAAGAATATTTTACTCCCCCCTCTGTCAATAATTCCTTCGACAATTCGTTCGCGAAAGAATTTCATCCGTGAATAAACTAATTTTTGATAAACTTCTTGACCTCAATGGTAGTTTGAAAATGTTAAGAAAAGAAAA